CGTGTGTCCAAAATCACACCAGTTTGATCGTAAGGTACGCTAAGGTAAATCTCGAAAGGCTGCCAAAACGTTTAATTTCCTTGTCTACAGCACAGTTCCATAGCGCAGAAGGCTAAGAGAAGCAGCAACGAATTTCAGTGGTTCTGAAGTATTTACAATGACCTGGCCTTTGCTTCTTTTTTTGAGAATAATTATTTGATTTAGACTTGACTATGCGGAACGAAAGGGCTGAAAATCCGCGCGTTCTAGAACTATTCGAAGACTCCAAAGTCGCACTCAGTGCCCATGCTATTCTGAATGGATTGAGAACGTTGGGCATCTCAGAAGGGTTGAATTACGCCACGCATCTCACCAATTCGCCTCTTTTCAGGTATACTTTCGCGGTTCAAAGTGTCACAAAACTTTTTTCTAATTTCAGTGAATTTTTAGTAAACGCATCCAGGTCGGGACGTACCGCAAGTTGCTATCTCTTTGTGAGCCCCGTCACCATAATCAACTTTTATTATCTTTCGAGGTTCCTCACCCTTCGCCCTAATGCGGAGTAAAGCAGTCTTATCTGTTTTTCACAACGCTGGAAGGACAGAGCTGCTTCGGGTATGCTTCTTTTATCTCTTGTCACTGATAAAACAGCCTGCGAGCTTTTCACGGCTGTAACACCCTATTAAAGGCCGACACCTCACAGTTACGTATAACTTTTACGAATACGTCCACAAATTCTTGACAGGTTAGTTTTTGATCGCCTTCTGAGGTCCATTTTAGTGACAATATCATAACCACACTTGTTTTTGTTTATTTATTCTCTTGCTAAACAAATACATATGGTGCTCCGAAGGTGCAGTACGACAGAAGTAAATGAGAAAAACTAAAGTACTGCCTCTGTTCAGGCTAGTAGATAGCCTTGGTTATACCAGGTTTGATGGAATAAGGAACATTCATTCTCCTTCGTTCTTTTACCCTCATTTTCAATGAAAACCAGGTTGAGCTCCCGAGTTGCCATTGGCGGTACGTGCGTGCAGACATGACAATGTCGTTAACCATCCATTTCGATTATTTATTTATTTATTTATTTGTTTTCATACGTCTAACGCTTTAGATTGAGGAGTGTTCAAAACGAATGCTATTGTATAGAAAACAGAAATACAAGATTGGGAAGCATGAATCGCTACGGTAGTCATGATAGGATTTCAGATTTAGTGAAATTTTAGTGAAAATTTAGGTCCCAGAGATTTTTTGATTCAGTCGGCGACTTTCTTAAGTATTGGGTTACCGGAAAGTTCCCGCCGATTTTGGTAGCACTATTTGAATGGCTTAGTTCTCAACTTAATTTTCAGTAACTTGCTGCAGCTGTGTATATCGTTTTGAAGCGCGTTTCTCGCTCTATCCAGTGGTGGCGTCCGTTTAGTTCGAAAGTGGTTGTTGCCACTTTTTCTAGAGCCTTGAAAACCACCTGGTCAAAAGGCAACTCGCGGCATTATGTTTATTTCAACCATAAATAGCCGAGAGAGGCGCGAGCAAGTTGCAATATCATCTATGTGTTTGGTCCAAGATTCACAAAAACAGCGCTGTGCAGCAATGGTTCAGATAGCTTTTCCAAAATTGCGAGAGCCTTCGAAGATGAATTGGGTAGAGGTTGGATTTCGGACATGTATAAGAATTAACCAGAAGATTATGAGTAAACTAAATCTGCACAGAACGGTAGAAGAGCCTGATACTAACTTAAATTTGACCTACTTGTAACTTTAAAATGAATGCAGAAGGTTGAAAATTTTGAAAAAGTCGACAAGCAAGTAGCGCTGAAGGTCCCTGTTTCCAGCACTCATCCGCTCTCTTTCTACCCTCTTTTACTGGATGGAAACGGCCTCTTTCTTGGTTGAATTGTAACGTGCCACACAGAAAAGATTCGTGGCAATAATCGACGAGCCTCCTCTGGAAACTTTGATCGAGATTAGGGTCAGCAAAATTTTTTAAAAGGTGGAAATGCACGAGGGCAGAGTTGTGAACACTTTCACAAGAATTGTGGCAGGTGCGGCTCTTCAAGCCCATACGGAAATGTTGGAGAGGACTCTACTTTCAACAGTTCGTCAAATACACCGCAAACTTCAAGTGAATGCGCCCAATAAGAATTTTCATAAAGGGGAATGACTCGCGATGTGTCTCGAACCCACACCGCAGCGCTGACCGTTAAGAAATTGAACTAGATGGGCTACTGAAATGCGCTTGCTAACATCTTACTCAACAAACCTTTTGCATATCCGCTGCCACTTTTCCTACCGTCTGGATAGCTTCTTTGAAGAGAAATGCTTTCGAAAGTTCAGCCTGATGCTGAAATGGACTTCGCCGGATTTATCGCTTACAGAATTCCAGCGCTTCCAACATTTGTGACGTTCAAAACACCTGGTGCTTTGAAAGAAGGCTGACGGGGCATTATAACAACTGTTATTGTTTCGATCGAAATGCGTTATGTTGCTGTCGGACTGCGATGTGCGCATTTGAATTCGTGACAAATCGGCGGAAACTTTCCGGACAACCCAATATACCATACTTCCAGGAGAACAAATCGCGTTCAATTCAGCTTATTGTTGTATTATCCGATTTTGTTTACCTGTCAATTATGCATTGTTTCTACGTTTGCTTTTAAGCGGAACGTGTAAATCACCTCACCTGTATCACCTGTCGTCCCGTTGATCGTCGATTTGCTCGAGCGGGCGCCAGCAACGTCTCCATTCGTCCCTGTCGCGTGCAAGAGTGGTCCAGTGGATCCTCCTCGCTCGAGGGACACGAAGTCTTCATTCCTTTCGTTCAGAGCTTTCGTGAAGAAGTCTGACCATCGGGCCGGCGGTCGTCCAGGTGTTCGTTTGACGTCCCGAGGGATCCAGTCGGTAACCGCTCTGGTCCAACGGTCATCGCAAAATCGCATGACGTGTCCGGCCCACCTTATCTTCGATTCCTTGGCGAAAACGGCAGCGTCCCTGATCTTCGATCGTTGGCGTAGTTCGGCAACTCCGGATTCCCCTCTGCACTTGCGTGTATAGGGTTACTCCTAGCATCGTCCTCTCGACAGCGCGTTGGATAACGCTGACCGCATGCTCGTCCTGCCTGCGCAGAGTCCAAGTCTCTGAGGCGTAGGTTAGGGCAGGAAGGACAGCGGAATCGAAGAGGTGGGCACGGAGCCGGATGTTCTTCGTCTTCTTCACTACTCCCTCGATGTTCTTGTACGCTCCCCAAGCCGCTCGTTTCCTCCTGCTCAGCTCTGGAGCTAGATCGTTCATCATATTGATTTCCCGACCTAGGTACACGTAGCTGGAGCATTCGGTGATGTTCGTTCCGTTGAGCGTGAATGGGGCATCAGGAACCAATCCGTTTCTCATAAACATCGTCTTCGTTAGGTTCAGCTGTAGACCAACCTTACCACAGGCGCAGTCGAAATCAGCCAGCATTCGCTCCGCTTGCTCGATGTTCGGCGTTATAAGAACGATGTCGTCAGCAAAACGAAGGTGGTGTAGTTGCCGGCCGTCGACCTTCACTCCCATGTCTTCCCATTCCAGTTGACGCATGACGTTCTCGAGAGCGGCGCTGAAGAGTTTGGGCGAGATGGTGTCGCCCTGTCGAACCCCTCTCTTGACGTCGATGATGACCTCCTTGTAGAATGGTGAGATTCTGGTCGTAAAGTTGCTGTAGAGCTCACGAAAATCTTGATAAACATAAACATAATAAACAAGTTGTCACGCTCTCAATTGCATAGTATTAGTAATCCTTTATAGAACTGAGGAACTTTTCTTTGAAGGAGAGCTAGCTTAGCGTCACCCTCTCACAAATCTTGGAGCATGGCTCAACTTTTCCCCGAAAATATCATTATTCCATCAGCTATGATGTCTTTTTGGAGAAGCGGCCAAGTCGAAAAAAACTATGAGGACTTCTTGTAGATTCCTGAAGCACTATAAAGTGCTTGGAAATGTTGTTCCACAGTTCACAAAGAATACCATTCTCCTTTAGTGGAGATGGAGCCAGCACGGGAGAACAGAAATGGACTGGGAAGAAGATCTGGCAGCCGCGCTCCAAAGGTAAAGACTTTTCATTCTTGCTCTTTATTTATGTTTTCTTGATGGGTTTCCGTTTAGAGTAAGGATGGCAGATGACGATCCGCAAATGGTAGCGATTGCAGGCCGCGAACAGAACAGGGGAGAACAAAATCACGGACAAGGTTGGTTTGCTGATGCGCGCTAAAGTCTGTGATCAACATTGGAGGCTCTCACTTCTAGTTTTAGGCTTTCTTAAGCTAAGGTGTCATCACTTTTCAGATGATATTGATTACATCTACGTCCCCCGAGATGTAGTAGCCGGGTTGGTGGTTCTTTCAAGAACGACGGAAATGAGCTACTTCGTGCATAATCTGGAAAATCTGGTCTACGAAGGCGACCCGGAGATAAGAGAATTCCTTCGCGACCGTCATGATCATGGAAAAATTGACTTCATCGAATGGGTGAGGTGAAATCAGCGGCATTTTATCTACTGTAAAAAACTTTCTCGAACTAAAAACCTACCGACGATTTCAAGCTCTACAGTTCAGTGGTTTTTCAGTGCCTATTCGAACACTATGATGTAGAGGTAACGCAAGCGCGAAAGTGTGTGGAAAGACATGAAACGCCGTCTGGATCAACGCGTACGCAAAAATAGGAGGCTGATACCACCAGTGGCAAGAGAGAACAGAAATGAGCGGGATGACGCCGCACTCCAAAGGTAGGAGAATCATTCTTGCTCTTCATTTATGTTTTCTTGACGGATTTTCCGATTCCCGTTTAGAATAAGGCAGATGAATGAGGATCCGCCAATGGTAGCGATTGCAGAGCAGAACAGGGGAGAGCAAAACTACGGACAAGGTTGGTTTGCTGATGAGCGATAAAGCCTGTGATCAACTTTGGAGGCCCCCACCTACAGTTCCCTTACCTAAGCTGACGCTTTTCAGATGACATTGATAACATCTACGTATCCCAAGATGTAGTGGCTGGGTTGGTGGCTCCAGCAAAGAGACGGGCGATGAGCCAGTTTGTAC